TATTAACAAATAAGAATATTTAAATTTATATATTTTAGCTTTAGATGGATGGACAAGTTTAACAGGAAAATCTTTATGGAATTTTGTTATTTATTTAGATGATGGTAAAGATATTCTTTGGAAAATTCAAGATTATTCAAATGCAAGTCATACTGCAGAATTTTTAATAACAGAAATTCAAAAAATTCTTAATGATATTGGAGTTGAAAATTTTATTGGAATAGTTACAGATGCAGGAGCAAATGTTAATTTAGCAAGAAAACAAATTTCTCAAAAATATTCACATATATTGAATATTAGATGCATTGTACATTCATTTAATCTTATTACAAAAGATTTAATTAAACATCCATTTGCATCTAAAATTATTCAATATTGTAAAACTCTAGTTACATATTTTAAAAAAAGTCATTTACCAAATAATCTTTTAATGACTAAAATTTCTGAGAAAAATATTTTAGGTGGTGGATTAAAAACTTATATTGATACAAGATGGACAACAGTTTATGAAATGTTAAAATCAGTCTATCAACTAGAAATATGCTTAAAAGAGGTATTATAAAATTATTTTATAAATTTGTATTTTAAATATAAAAATTATATAAATTTTTATTAATTATTTAAATTAATAAATTTATAATTTTTTATTTAGATAATTAATGAAAATCCTTCAGTAATAACAAATAAGTCTATTAAAGCAATTATTTATACCAAAAAAGGATTTTTTAATGATGTTTATAATTTAGCTAAAATTTTCAAACCTATTAAAGATGCTATTATCAAATTAGAAAATAGAAATGCAACATTAGCTGATTGTTATTTTGCATTAATAGGTTTAGGAAATTCAATTCATAAAATGTCTAAAGAAATTCATAAACAATTTCATCAATATGCTATCAAAATATTTAATTCAAGATACAAAGAATATGAATTTGATGAATATCTTTTAGCATATTTTCTTCATCCAGGATATAAAGGTAAATTATTTATTATATAATTATATATTTATTTTAATTTTAAATTTTTTATAAATTATTTAGGTGCTGGTATCCAAAAAGATCAATTTTTAAAAATTGCAACTTCAGCAGCTAATATTTGGCAACAAATGGTAAAAATTCCAGAAATTGCAACTCAATTAAAAAATTATAAACATTCTAAACAAAAATCTGGAGATATACTTATTGCTCAATTTAGAGAATTTTATTTAAATCAAAATCCATTTAATGCATCTTTTTTATCAAATATTGATTCAGCTTTAAGTTGGTGGAAAACATGTACAATAAGTCCACCATATTTACAATTACTTGGAATTAAACTTTTCTCAATTACTCCACATGCAGCAAGTTGTGAAAGAGTTTGGTCTATTTGTGGATGGATGACAGGAAAAAGAAGAACAAATTTATCAATTGAAAATCTTGAATCATTAGTTAAAATTCATTCTTATTATATTACTAATAGAACATCTGAATTAAATTTATATAATCAAGAACATACAAGTGAAGATACTTATCAAGAATTATATAATGCACAACTTAATGAAGAAGAAGAAGAAGAAGATAAAAATGAAATTGAAAATCAATTAAATATTGATTTAAATGATTATGATTTAGATGATGATGAAGGAACTATATGGGAAAATTTAAATTTATTAGAAATAATTGATTTAGAAAATAATATTTTTAAAGATGATGATGATGAACAATTTATGGAAATTTCAGATAATGAAAATGAATTAGATAATTTTATTCAAGATTTAGAAAGTGAAAAAGATTATAATCCAAGTGAATTAGCACAAAAATATTTTGAAGATATTGATGATATTTATTATTATTAAAAATTAAATAATTAAATTTATTATTATTATTTAATTTTATATTATATATATAAAGATTTTTTCCTTAATATTAAGGTTTTTTTTATCTTTATATATATAATATAAAATAGTTTATTAGTATTATATTTTTAATATTATTTATTTATTTATATAAATATATTTTTGTTAAACATTTTATTAAAATAAATTTATTTTATAACTTATAATTTTTAAAAATTTTATATTATAGTTTCAGAGTTTCGGATTATAGTTTCGGAGTTTCGGGTTTCGGAGTTTCGTATTTTTTTTCAAAAATCCGAAACTAGTTTCGGATTAGAGCCTTCCGAAACTAGTTTCGGGTAGGTTTCGTTTCGAGTGCCAACTCTACTACACACAATACTCAAGAACTCAATCAAATTACAAAAAGACAATTACTGTTTGACTACTGTTTAGCCCAAACTTTTAATATTATTTCAATCACAGAAACAAAACTAGCACATTCCATATATAATGATAGAAACCTATATAGAGTTGGCGGTTCATGAAAGGCCAGTTGGTTATATGAAAACCGAACATATAAGTTTGTATGACCTAAATATACTTTAGAAGTGCTTTTTTACATGCTTGCAATAACAGATATTTATGTGGTTTGATCACATGATTGCACATTGAGCATTTCTATTGGCCGATATATTAAAAAAATTTAAATTTCGAAACTCAACCTGACTGACCCGCCCGGGATATGAAAACCGATTGTATAAGTTTGTATGGCCTAATATAACGAGATTTTTACAATTATATAATATCCCATATATAGTATGTAATTTTAATATTATGAAGTAAGTAAAGGACTAAAGCCATGGCCTTCATTATATCAAAAGTCACTATGTAATATACAAGAACATAAATAAAGATTATATGTTAAATTATTTGTCAATCAGAAATTGCTTGACGAATGGTCACATCATTCGTTATGCATCATTAACATTAATAATTGTGAATTATGTTATTGTCGTACCTGAAGTTAACCAATGCGTGCAAGATGATCTAATCTGAGCTAATATAATTCTGTAATGAGTAACATTCGGATTATCCGTCAATATTAGGTACGTACGACAATACTATGAAACTTAATTACTGTACTTCGTATCTGATTTCTGCGATTACTGTAAGATCTGTGTTCTGGCTACATAAGTAGTGATTCAGGGGAAATTTTGGAATTATTAATAATTAATAATTTTAGTAATTCCACAAACAAAGCAGAAGTTACATTATTGATATTCATTATACCCAGAAATAAGTCCTCTGCATCACTAGTTCCGTCACACAAATACCCTGTGATTCGCTCAAAATACTGTTTAACGATTAAAATACTGTTCTTAAATTGCTTCAATTATGTAATACACATTACGATAAAAATTTAAATATTTAATTGAGTCTTCCTTGGCGGCTAGTATTGTTAGACAAAACCATTTTGCAAAATGACAAAAGTCGAAACCTACCACCTCAAATGACAAAACCTACGAAACCTGTGAAACCTGTGAAACCTCTATAAAGACTAAGTTTTTATAGATGACGAAATTTCTGATAAAATTTAAAGCTTTCTACAAAGAATAAAAACTTTGGTAATAGATAAAGTAATTATTTAGGAACAATCCTTGATTAAAAACTTATTGTTAAGATGCAAAGCATATGAAGCCGTTGTTTAGATGCGAAACTATTGTTTAGATGTAAAACCATTGTTTTTGTATAATTCTTAATTAAAAGCGATGTTATATTTTAAACAGAATTATAATTCTTGAATAGTCTTTGATTAAAAGCTGTATCATTGTTGTATAATTTCTGATTAAAGTCTATGCTATAGCTTGAATGCAATGTTAGAATAATTTTTAATAGTACATAGTAAATAAAAATTAAACAAATTATATTTTATATTTTTAAAAATATAACTATAAATTTTATACATTTAGTTTGAAAATAGCTACATTAAACGGGAAAATTCTCTACTCTTAACTATTATTAAAATTTAGAGTTAGGGCATAATTTAGACGAAAATTAGGATTAGATATTAGGGCCTCTATTTTAGTTAACATAAGGTTTCTGGGAATTCTGAATATTTTTACTTAGTAGAGGTTTGTTAGTTATTACGTTTTTGAAATATAGCACCCGGTAATCTTTCCCACAGTGAGAAATAACAATTCAGTACTCTTTAATTTATTATAAATAAACATATTTTCAATTTTATTAAATTTTGTAATCTTTGTTATCTTTTGTCAGTTTTGTCATTTTAAAATTTTTTTAACTTAGTTTAGACTTTTGTCAGTGGCAAACCCTTAGGTTTTGTCTAACAACATTATTTGCAGCACTAAATTAAAATGAGAAATAAAAATCACGTATTATTATATGATTTGGCCAATAAACTCTTCGCCATTACAATGTTTATTATTGTCTAGAGCAGAGTAGAAGACTCGATGAATGAAATTACGAGTCTGATATATTTATATAGAAATATTAAACCGTAGTTTTGGCTTTTTTTTTTTATCTACATGACCATATTTTTCAAGGATTGAGGTTATTAATTGAATACATGTATAAAAATTTTGGGTTCTGGATTTAAATCGGTTTCCGACCCTAGTTTGTCTATCCATACGATATGAATATGTATGACTAACGTTGTCGTTTACCGTTGCAGTTTATTTTTGTGTTAAAGATAGTGACGCGATAATAACAAAATCGGCTTAAATTATATAATCACAGATTTCATCTAGGACATATTTCTGTATTTGTCTGCAATGTATCTTTGTGCGAAATAATATTTGCGTCAAATTAAATTAATAAAATCCCATTAATACCTGCAATTAAATCAGTATATACGATTTTCGATTGACGCATAATACAACTTATCTAACTCTAACTTATTTTAATTCATATAACCATTATGGCACATATTAAGAGTTGCAACTTTGATCGATTGAATATTTAGCAAAATTTTAATTATCTAGCATGAATTCAAGGGTAAAATTCTCTCATAAAAAGATCCCAGATATGCAACTCTAGTATTTTATTCTAAAAAGAATTTTTAAATCGAAAAAGTTGTCTTACATTGCTTATTAAGAACATATAATATAAGTCCTTTAAAGTAGTAGGTAATACGAAGTTATCAGTTTGAAAAGTTACTTTCTGCAACATTTATGATTTTAATCATAACGATAAGATAATACAGAATAAACGTATTCAAAATGTATATCATAAAGTAAAATTACTCAAATAATATATCAGTACCGTCAAGTGAAAACCAGGAAATCCAAATATAGAAAATTATTTTATATTAATTTATATTTCAACTTCCTGGTTCCACTCGGAGGCACTCGTAAGGGAACCATGGGTATTATGGCGCACTTAACGATTGCTAATAGTAAAAATATTTGAAAAAAGCATATTTATTC